GCCGAAGGCAACCCCCCTGTCCGAAGGGGTGGCTCCTGCCAAGCATCCTCCTCTGTCTTCACAGCTCCTTAGGAGACAATCTATTCCAAACCACTGTTGCACCAAACTACATTATATTTATATATACCATGTCCGCTGTATGATTTAATCTATTTATATGTGGTGTATATAAAAGGTTGTCTGTATAAGACCTGGTGCCAGCAGATGAGAGATGGCAAGGTGAACTTCCAAGTGTAGTTTTCCTGCCTGAAAACTGGAGCAGATGACAAGTACTCTCTGCTCCTTGTGTTCCTCAGCTGTAACACCTTCCTTCCTTCCTTCACAGGCTCTCAGTGCTCGGAGCCTATGGATGAAGCTGCCTCCCTAAAAAAACATCCTGAGGCAATACTCTTTGACATACTAAGAATGATATTATTCATCTTAATTTACTTGCTAAATAATCTTTGTTTAATCAAGAGGCTTCTCATAGTGCCTTGAGGTTGAGTCATTGCAGGTATAATTTGATCCCATTTTTCATAAAATCACTCTCGTAATCCTCTTGTTTAGTAACGAAATATAAGATGGTATTGAACATACCTGAGTTTTGGCAGGCAGTTTCCCATCCTTCCACTGGATCTCAGCACCCTTGGCTCGCCAATTTTGGCTTGGTTTCCCTGCTGGCTGAATTGTTTTCTGTACTGGCTGTGTTAGAGAGTGAAACTCAGTGACCAGAGAGGCTCATTATCTCTCCCACAGTGCCTGTGTGCAGCACCCAGATATCGTGCACCTAAATAAACCTCAAAGCCTCCACTGCAGCCAAGCATTAATGAGTAGGGGTGGGAGAGGAAGTGGGGGGGTGAGGGGAGGGAAGGGGGGAAGGACGAGTGATGTGGCTTCCCGGGACACTGGGGCCGGTAAGGGCGTGCTGTTGCTGGTGGCCTCCACAAAGTGACTAGCGAGTTGCAGCATGGACTCCCTCTAGGATCCCTCAACTAAAAAAGCAACTTGGGGTGTTCTCAGCAAGAGGAAACCACATGCCTGACCATGGTGCTCTTCGGAGAAATGGTGTGACAAAACGAATGGTAAAAGCCAAACACTTCAAACCTCATCAAAGCACAGCCTTTGCTACTGAAGCTTTCCAATGTAATCTGGTTTTGCTTCTCTCTCCTTTTTGATTTATTTTTTTTTATCACTTCTTCTTCCTCCTGAGTTACAAGGAAGAAGGAAAATGAAGAACCAGAAATACAATTTGCAAGGCCGATGGTTCGGGGAATACGTATGCTTTAGTTCACACATTGTAATTGTGGTACATTGCTCAAAAAGAAGAAAAGCATTCTCTGTAAAACGTCAGGTGTCTGCAGCAATTTCATCAAAACACAGAGGTAAGAAGTGTTGGGTGGTTAACCAGACAGTTTCGAAACCCGTGCTGTCCCCTGGTAACGTGGTTTTGCAGATAGGTGTACACCACCATGAGCTAGGTCTCAGCTAAGCAGCCCCCCTCCTTCATTTCTCTTTTGCACTTTGCTCAGCAGTCCCACACCAGATTTCGGTGCCAGCAGCTGTAATTTGCAGCCCTTCAATACATCTGACAGCAGTGGGAGACCAAATGGGGGGAGCCCAGTTTGGGAAGAGGTTGCAGATCAAATACCTCCAAGTCCAACTCAGCCAAGTTGGACTTGGCTAGCTATGGCTGCATGCCAACGGCCCTTGTGCCATCTGATCTAAAACGTGTGCATAAATGTGACACTTTGTCTCTTACCCTGCCCAAATGAGCATCACCTGGTCCTGCAGCATCCCTTGGCTATCGACGGCAGGTCCTGCCGCAGCCTGCCCCCATGCAGTGACACAGGCTGGAGCATACAGTAGGTGGTAGATGCAGCTACTGTCTTTACCCCAGTGTACTGCAGCTCTTCAAATCCAGACAAGATGTAGAGGAATTTGCAATAGGCAGGCATTATTTATGAACATGTTATGAAGTTCTCGTCCTGTTCAATTGCATTAGACAAGCTTCTTCCCAGCAGTGGCACCTGCTACTAGTACTGACAGACCAACCTCCAAGAGTCACTACAATTCAGCAGTGGATGAAACCATCTCCCTGTTTTGTTCTCTTTACAGGCAACGCCTTGAGTGATGGCACCAAATCCTGCTGACAAGGTAGGCAGCTATCCAGTTGTTAACCTGGGTTTGGATGGTTGAAAAACCAATTTTTTAGATTGATGTTTGACAAAACAATGTTTTAGACAATTGTGCCTGAATGGCTCCTGTCAGCAGTATTTTCCAGAAGTTCAACTGGGTGATTTATCAATATCCTTAGTCACTTGTGCTGTGTGGAAATGTTGTCATTTAGTGACTGTGCACTTAATTCTTCTATGTCCTTTTTTCATTTACTGGGAACTAGAGAGACCATTCTATTGCAGCAGAAAGGAAGGGAAGAATGTGAATCACTAAGTTTTTCAAGCAATGACTGCAGAACTATCTTCTGCCTAATTTATTCCCAAACTTTCACTGGCTCTGGAAAGTGCCTGAAGCTCAGGCATGCTGTGCAGTTCTCAGAAATGAAGCTGCTGTGCAACTGAAGCAGGACAGCATGGTATCTGGCTGACAAGCAAGGGGGAGGTCTGTAATCCACCAAAAAGTCTATGCAAAGATGAACACATCAGGAACTGTCTGAATAAATGCACTTGAAGATACACTCACAAAACTGAAATAAGTGGAGGAGTCAATGAGTGTCTTATGTTTAAAGTAATGAATCAACTGCTGATGTTGGCTGGTCCCTGGAGGAAGACAAGGGATGGGAGAGCGGTGTTGGGGGTGTCAGAAAGAGATGCTGCAGCAGTCGGATGTGCATGCAGACCCCTACGCACATGGGCTGGGAGGGAGGTCCCTGCACGCCTGGGTTCCTTGTAGTGTCAGGAGCTGTCAGGGGAGAGGCAGAGCCTGCAAGAAACAGCCAGTGTAGGGGATGCTGTAAACAATTTAAAGTCAACACATTTGTGCAACCACGATAGCCATCTCTATCCTTTGCTTGGGTGTTACTGAGACTGAAGGTTTGCTCTTTTTGAAAGGTGTTTGCTGTAGTTTCACCCAGATTTTCAGGATGGAGGACTGATAGTTTTTGGAAGATCTGAGTGTTTCTGGCAGAAAATAAAATTAAAAGCTGAAAAGAACATTTCCTATGAGGAGAAAAATACATCAACTGCGCTTACAGTTCTTTTTTAAATCAAGTACAGTTCCTTTTTTGATCACCAAGTGGCAAAGTTTAGCTACAAGGACTTCAAAAATAGTGTCTGCAAGCTTGTGGAAAGTTCCTCTGTAGCAGAGCTGAGTACACCAACAAAGCCTGGAATGAATCTTTGCAGAGATCACCCGCACTCTGCTAGGAGACTTCGGTGCAAAAGGACGTAGTTTCAGCAAATCTTCAATGTTTTTTTTTTCGGTTTTGGAAGTTCTGAGAGGCTGACAATCATAAATTAAACATCTGCTTGTGAATCCCCAGTTCAAGGCTGGAAGTTTTCCCTCTGACTTAGTCAAGAGCCTGTTTGAGCTATTGGTATTGTTTAATAGCTGCAAAATGGTTTGGCAAAGCCTCCAAGAACTGTTTTTCATTGATTTCACATTTGTTCAGGCCAGAATGCCCTTCCAGAAATCTTGCAGGAAAATGCAACTATGAAAATAGCTCAAGAAAAGGAAAATGAGATGTGATGCCTCAAAGGAAAAAAACAACATTATGAAGCAATCACAGTTTGCAGAGTAATGGGAATGAATTACTGAACCTACTAAAAAGCACATCCAAAATGTTTCTTAAAGGAAAATGATACCTGAGCTGTTTCTGTTTTCAGATGATTAATTACCACTTGGGAAGACAGAAGGAACAGTGCATGTGTAAGCACATCTGAGAAATTTTTTTGCCACATCATGGTTTGGGCCCATTGGCCTCCCTCAGCCTATTTGCATGATTCAAGGTTAATTTGTGCAGCAATCCAACAAAAGGAAACATTTTAAATGCAATCGTAGTCATTTGGAGTAGTAAGAATTTGCAAGAATGTAAGCCACCTAATCAGAAAGCAGAAACACGAAACAGAGTTTACCAGTACACGTTTTTTTAGCAAATGAGGTCTCGCTGGCTGGTTTCCCCACAGCGCAGTGTGTGATCGACCTGTGGGCTGAGGGTTTGGTTGGTTTTAGCAACGTGATCACTGCCAGCAGAAAAAGAGAAGCACGGAGGTAAAACTGACAGAGCAAAAAGTTACAAAAACAATGCCTTAAAATGGCTGGGTGAGCTATTTTTATGTCATCTCAGGTGAGGATGGAGAGTAAGGGGTGTGCTTGTGGGATGGCAGCCCTGTCTTTCTGCGGTACACAGGGCTGGGGAAGGAGCACAGACATGTGGAGATGGGAGCAACCTCAATGGAGGAGAGGGGAGACCAAGGCTCTACTGTTTCTCTGGGGCACAAACCCTCAGGGAAAGCCCCGGGGTTGGCTTGCTCTGTCCTCCTTACCTGGAAAAAGAGTTGTGTTACAGCAGCATCAGCAGCTCCTGGGTCTCCACCAATTTACACGTGGTGTGCAGATCACTAATTGGGTCCTCTGAGTTACACGTTGGGGATATTTGTACTACTCATTGCAGCATAACTATTGACCTGAGCTCCTTTCTCTGAGCTCAGGTCAGGGCCAGGGTGGCCTTTCTTCCTTCCCCTCACAGACTGACAGGCATCAGGCACTCAACCTGCTTAGAAACCTGGGCTTTTGTTTAGGCATCTGCAAAAACCTAACCTTATGGAGAAGGCACTTGTGAAAACCCCAGCCTTGTAACCCCATTACCCTTGTCTGTCCAGCAGCCCAGCTGGGAAATCTTCGGTTTCTGGCTCTGACATTTGTTGTCATGTCCCCCAAACTTTTGTTATTCAGCTGCATCCTGGAGGGCTGGAGGTTTTTATGAGGTGCCTCTTACCGTATCTGCTGGCAGGGGGAATGTCCCTAGAGTTAGAACGAAGTGTATAAAAAAGGGGAAGCAACGCTCAATGGATCAGTCACTTGCTCATCTCGCTGAGCGCACAGCTAAGATGATGGTCGCTTATCTGCTTCTCTCCGGCATCTGGACCCTTGCATCAGGTAACTCCCTTGTCTGTCTGTATCGTTACTGTAGGCATTAGGGACCTTGGTGGCCCCTCCAGCCTGCTGCTGTGCTGCTGGGTGCTGCAGTCCCCCCTCGCTTCCCCTTGGGGTGAACCCACCGGTGACAGGGCTCTTGTGGCACTGCACGCGACTGCACCGCTCGCGTGGGGGCTCAGATTTGTCACTGCTGGTTGCGTTGACAACATCCTCTCCTTAATTTATTACTGATGCATTTATTAGCTGCAGACAAATGTACAGATTTACTGCAATTTGCAAATCATAAAGCTTCAAATGTTCAAATGGTTCTAATAACCCATATGATTTCATCTCCTGTGGTGGCTGGGGTTTGAGTTAGACTATGGCACTGATCTGCTTCAGCCAGGACAGAATTATTTGTAGTTATGGATATAGTGCTTGTAGGTGTGTGTTCAGGCCACTAAACAGTCTGTTCAGGATTTTGAAAAAGGCAGAAAGTCTTAAACCAACCACGTGGGCAGGGGCCAGTCGCCCTCTGAGGGATGCAGGGAAAGGCAGCCAGCTTTCCCGTCCAGGTGCTCTGTCCCACGATGCTGTTCCACCTGCTTTGCTGGACTGAGATCTGCCTCCTGCTGCTCTGCAGGGGCTGCCAGCTGGAGGAGCCGTCGATGGGTGAGTGGAGAGCCCTTTCCCTGCATGAGGTTAACTCCAGGGCAGCACCAGCCTTTCTTGGCAAGCAGAGAGACCCAGACACCCTCCTGACTGAAAAATGCTGATTGGTACCTGGAAGACTAGCTTGTAATCTGGGGGCTGGTCAGCAGCAAGATTGCGAGAACGTCTCCATGGGCACCTGTGGGATAACAGTCTTAGCAGACAGAAATCAGTTACTTGTGGCACTGGAGCTGCCTTTCTTAGTGGCACTGTCTACAGCACAGATATCAGGCTGGTGAGATGCTTTGTGTGAGAATGTCAGGTCCAGCTAAATTCTCAGAGGAATTCTTTTGTGCCACGCTTTCATTTTTTTCCCTAGGTGGAGGGGCAGAGAGATCTTCCAGAGCTGCTGGAGTGAGGGCGAAGGGCTGGGGAAACCTCTGCTGGGGGTGGGTTGCAGAAAGATGGTCAGAAATGCTGAGTGCAGCACTTGCTTTTCCCCCAGGCTCCGTGCAGGTGTTGGACAGAAAGGTCCAGTCAGTCCAGGCAGGAGGAAATGTCACTTTTTCGTGCCGGTCGGTCACGAGAGAAGATGTGCTACAGGTGACCTGGCAGAAGGAGGTGGACGGGGCCGAAGACAATATAGCAACTTACAGTACAATGAATGGCCAAAAGATCGCAAAGGGCTACATTGGCCATGTGAGCTTTGCCCGCAGTGAGTTACAAGCCTCAGCCATCTCCCTGCATGGAGTCACCCTCCAAGACGAAGGATGCTACAAGTGCATCTTTAACACATTCCCCTCGGGAGCTGTCACTGGCAGGATGTGTCTCAATGTTTACGGTAAGGCATCATAATTGTGTATGGACTGTCATCTGAGGACCAGGTCATTTTCCCTGGGAAAAACCTTCCCTGACCACTGGTCATTGCTAAATTGCTGCGGGAAAGGTGGCTCAGCTTCCTCTCTACTCACCCTCCCTTTCTGGTTTTACCTCTGATGGGAAACCAGCATTCAACAGTTCTTTAATTTTCTTCCCCTTTGAATCAACAAGATTGAGATCCAAAAGCTGGTGTGTAACCCATGACTTCCTCCAAGTTTCCCTGGCTGTGTGCTGTGCTGACAGCTGGCCTGCCACAGCCATGAACCCCATCCTCTTCTGCTTCCTTTGACTGTTGCTCTTGCCTCCTAAGCTTGGAAATCGGGCATTTTTTTCTTAATCTGCCTTCAGTCTTAAAATTCAAAATATTCAGAAGGCAGTGAATGGGGCACATGCATGGCCAGAGTAGCTGATTTTGAAGCCATAGTAAAAGTGACAGTAATTAATCTGTCTTCAGGAAAGGGATGAAAAAAAAAAAGGGACTGAAAAACAGTACAGCTTGTGAGCTTTACCACACAAATATCCTGTGCAAGTCAGTATAGATGAACTTCAAGAAGAGAGCTAAAACGAATAATGAGTGGACGTGGCAATATTCACCAGTCATGAGCTAGCAAGTACACGCTGAAATACAGACAAATAGTTTAACTCAAAAGGAACAAGAGTGAAAAGCTGTTTATTTTTTGAGGGATGATCTTGGTTTTCTGCCATTGAAAAAGCTGAAACATTAAATACGTCCCAAGGGCACTCTGTTAGCTCCTGACTTTCTCATCACTGACTCCACTGTGGGGTCATGGGCCAAAGATCATATCCCATGTAGAAAACATCAGTGTCTGGGATCTGCCACTGGTGGTATGACCCCTGCAGAGTATTTTGTTTATCCCTAGTACCTTCTGCTGACAAAGACACAGACACATGCCTAAACACTTACCCATGTGCGAGGAGTCCTCTGTGTGGAAAGAAAGATGCCCCTGGCTATTAAGGGAAAGATGACTTTAGCAATAGGGGAAAGGCGGGGGAAATACGAGGGAAAATCATGTTTGGAACAAAAGTTCTTTTTCCTCTCTCTTGGGAAAGCTCCTAGAGCAGAAGAGAGAAATTAGGAGAAATTCAGTCAATATTTCAGAAATAAAGGGGAAGGTGTTCCTGAAAATACCCAGCCCTGAGTCATTCAGAGGGTAAACACTGATTTATACGTTACAGGAAAATATGGAAGTGCCTTGCAGAGGAATCCCTTTCTCATTTATCATGAGAATCTAAATGCAGAGATAGATTTGTTTTGTTTTGTTGTTTTGTTTGTGGTGTTTGGGTTTTTTTTATCCAAGAGGGGGAAATATTTTCTCAAATCACCAGCCTTGTGGCTATGATTTGTCCTTTAGCAGAGCACTACTTTAAAAAAAAAAAATAATCAAGCTTTTCTACTGCTACACACACTCCTGTGAGTGTCTTTTCCTGTGTCTTGAACAAAAACACATCAACTGAGAAGGGTTTCACTTCTCTCACAGACAGGCAGGAGCCTACTGCTCCTGTTATGCCACTGCCAGGGGCTGGCTCACTGGGGTCACGGTGGCCTCCCTGAAATGTGCTTTGTCAAACATGCCTGGAGAGTCATCTTGAATAAGCCAAGTGCTTGTTACTGTGCCATGTTTTCATTCACATACAGCATATTTCATTGAAGCTAATTTATGTGATGCAACTTAAAAGCCACAGTTTTACTCCCTTATTCCCCAATTTGCAATGACGAGAGCAACTTGTCTGCACAAGCCCAGAGGACTCCCCAGGATGGAGTGTGAGGCCAACAGGAATCTCCCAAGGCCCAAAGGTTCAGGGCAAGGTGAGCAAACTGGCCTGTAGAGTCACCAGCGAAAATGAAACGCTGCCATGTCTTCGCCCTCAAGAGGGGACTGCCAGGGAATTTACAAGTTGGTAATTGCCCAACTACAACAGTCTTCGCAAGAGGGGCTGTTCCAGAATGGGCACCGCTGATGTGTGATGAGGGGAAGTGAAACCACTTAAGGACTGGATACCACACTGTGAAAAAAAGAAACAGGTATGACTGGAGGAATCTCAGACCAGCCTGGCTAAAACAGAAAACCCAAGAAGCAGCAGAAATTTCCTACCCTGTATCGAAAACCGTTTTGGGAACAGAATCATTTAAAGTGTGCTTGGCAGGTTGCTGTTGAATGGCCTGCTGCCCTTCCCCTTCCATTTTGCTTCGGAAATATTTTATCGGCCTTCATTGACAAAAAGGATGAGAAATCCAGGAAGGAGGTACAGTGAGAAGGTACTGAGAGAGGTTGATGTGCCACGCAAGAATGGACAAGACTTGCTGGGACACAAAATTGCCTGGGCATTTGCTGGAGGGACTTTCTGCCTTCATCATAGATGGTACTGTTCTCCTGGAAGGCTCGAGCACAGTGGAAAAATGCCATCACTATTTCTTAGACAGAGAAATTGAAGCATGGGGTTGCTGATGAACACCCATAAGGTTGGAAAAGGCTTTCTGTCATCATAAGGCGTATTATAATTCCTAAAAATTTTTATCAGTCTCTCCAAGATCACTGTCAAGACTTTCAACATAAAGAGCAAATCATGACCTGACAGTCCCCTTTAATTACGTAAGGCCATTACAGATAATCAAAGCTGACGTACTTCACTAGAAAGTCCCTTTTTCAAGTACTTGGGAAAACCGCCACAGTTCAAATTCGGTAACGTTCGCGTTATTGCTCTTCAGGACCACTGATGCAAGTACTTGCGTACAACATCTCTTGCAGGTACTTTTTCACTGGAAACAAATATTTAGATGAAAGACAAAAGATGCAGTTAATTTAATTTTATACATCAAACGTCAACAGTGGGAGCAGGCTAATAAACCGTGTAGCAAGACTGTAGCAAGGCAGCTGGACTTGCAGGCTTTGTCTGTGCATCTATTACAGACACTTGCTGAGGGGGAGCTCAACCCTACAGGAATTTTTTCACATGACAATCATTCCTTTGAGTCCAATGTGAGAAGAGAGAGGACCGCTTAGTCAGAAGAAGAGCAGATGTGGAGTGCACGTGTTTCTGCCAAGATACTGAGCAATTTTTCTCATCCCCTCTGGAAACACCTGTGACGGCTTTCCTTTACTGCTTTTGGATCTTGCAAGCTAATATTTGAAGTTAATGTCGTGGGTGGATGTGTTATTTTTATGCATCCCGTGAGCGAAAGAAGAAGTTCAGAGCTCATTTACTAATCAAAACATAAACTGTTTGTGACACTTGTATTTTCATACATGGGAGATTTTGAGAAGTTCCAGCTAAAATCCCCCTACACATTTTTCTTGTTGCTGTCAGAGCAACACTAGTGAGTTTCATCAATTCTGCTTGTGGGGTTTGAGTTTCTGTCTATGGCCCATGCAGAAAATGAGAAATGACTGCTTTTCTTTTTTTTTTTTTTTCTATGCAGGCATGGCCATAGTAAATAAATGAGGTCTAGCCATTAACAAACAAACAAACAAACAAACAAAACAAAAAACAAACAAACAAACAAAAAAAAAACCAAAAAACCAAACCCAAACAACATAACTGAAACATAACTGATGGTATACATATATCTTGCTTCCAATCTTTGGCAGTTAGGGTTTGGAGGATCCAGACAACCTCATGAGGTCCATCTGGAGTTGTACCAGGAGGTTATAGACAACCTCATGAGGTCTATCTGGAGTTGTACCAGGAGGTTATAGGCACCATTATGCATTAAGCACAAGCCTTTTGCCCTTTAACTGTTTAAAAAAAGTGGTGGTTTGGACCCCTGTGCTGTAAGCACATGCACTGAAGTAGAAGGCAGGCGGTGAGCTGCCATATGGAAACCTGTGGATTGCAATCCCAAATGGAGCTACGTGACTTTATACGTTCTGGCCTGAGGAAATTCAGCTAATAAATCTGGCTTTTAGCAGGGACTTAGACTAGATGACCTCCAGAGGTCCTTTCTGACCCAAATTACAATGTGATTTTATGGCCGAGGAATACATAGGTGATTTTCCACAGGAGAAACATGTGTCCTTATGTGCTTAGATCTGCTCTGGAGTTCTACCCAGGTTGAAAACAGCTTCCTTCTCACTCCTCCCCTTTCTTAATTCCTTGCAAATACAGTTCATATAAATGGGAACCAACAAGCAGGCTTCACGTGAGTGAGTAAGCATGAATGACTCCTGTCGTTCATCCTTCTTGCTGACTAAGATTAAATGTGACAGCATCCACCAATCCTCTAGGATGAGAAGGATTGCAGAACAAATGATCTTTAATGAAGGCTTTGAGGGATACCACAATGCCCCCAAAACCTGACACTAGTGAGAAGAAAGTTGTACAAGCACAGAATCTCCACAGGTGAAATCCTGTGGTGTAATCACATACAAATTCACTATTACTGTATTGCATAAATAGATGCATATAGTTCTTTGCTGCACAAGTCCACACATGTCTAGCAGCAAGAAAACTAATCCTGCAGATACACTCAAGGGAAAAGAACAAGAATTTTGACCTATTGGAGCAGTTCAGCCCTTTCAGAGAGAGGAGGACATGTGGTTTCATGGTTTCACTACCTGTTCTTTTTCACTCATCCATAATCACCACTTCTCAGTTGGGATGCTGCAACGCTGCAGAAATTGAAAACAGAAATTTCAACAGAATTGAAACACAGATGCTTTTACCCTCTTGTCCTTTGTTTTTATCAAGTTTTTAATTTCCAGACTGCTGGGGCTTTGGGGAGGGGGAGGCAAGATTAGATATCAAGGTTGTCTTCCAAGATAAAATGGTAAATACAGATACTATTTGCTCAAATGTGAGCAGAAAGTAATGGATTTTGTCACTTTGTGTTTACAGCCATCTCAAACCCCAAAGTGGAGGCGAAGCTTATACCCAGTCCAGACAAAGCCAAGGACTCTCAGAATGTGGTGAGGATGAGCTGCTCAGCAACAGGGAAGCCAGCCCCAAAAATCACCTGGCACCTTCCCAGCATCCTGCAGCAGAAACCAAGGGAGTACCACATCAGGCTCGGCAATCAGAGCGTGACTGTCATCAGCAACTTCACGCACGCCCACGCCAAAATCCTCCAGGAGTACCCTATTGCCTGCATGATCCAGCATCCCTCTCTAAACGGGACCCTGGTCCTTCCCATGGACAGCCTGGCACAGGGTCAGTATGTAACCCTGCTCCTTCCCTGGAGCAGGGAGGATACCACAAAGCACCTCCTGGGGTAGATCAGGAAACTCCCTCGAGAGTCAGGGGGAAGATGGGGAAGGCACCTGGAAGAGCTTCCAGGGCTGGGCTAGGGAGTGATGGTGGAGGTGCTGAGGAGTGGCCAGACACGTGGGTGGTGGCATACAATGGCATACTGCCCATTGGGTCCCTGGCATGCCATGATGTGCTACAGCCTCCCTGCCTCTGCTGAGGACTCACAGGGTTTCCCTGTCACATAGCCTGATGCACCAACACAATGTACCAGCTTTGGGTAGCTTGGAGGTGCTGGGTCCCACATGGGCAACCATGGCATCAGACCCCAAACACAGATCTGCTGGCGGTGCCACTTGTGTGCATGCTGACATGTGCTCCCAGTGCCCCTATCCACCCTGTCCCACCCCAGGGACTGGCCAAGGGATGTCTGAAACGGGTTTGATTTGTTGTTTTTTCCTCCTTCATGCATGAACTGAGTACCCACTGCTTTCCCCACAGGTCCGGACAGCAACACGGCACCGGCCATTGCCATTGTGATGGGGGTGCTGGTCCCCCTGATTTCCCTCCTTCTTCTCGCCTGCCTCCTCTACCACTGCCTCAGGCACCTACGTGACCCGGAGAGAAACCCAGCCCAGCCATGCTGGGTAGGTCTACCTTTCCCCAGTCTGCCGTGGGGCTCACCCCCACCGGTTGCGAGAGTCATCACCAGGAGTCGTTTTTTTGTGGTGACTCGTAGTCTGGCTGCATGCTGCCCAGCCCGGGCTGCCCCCGGGGCCCAGGGGGATGAAGGGCTCAGCCCCCAGCCAGATGGCTAAGAAGTATCACGCTGGGAAGGGGAAACGTGAAGGTGCTTAGCCAGGCCCATAGGAGCTCCACAGTGGTGGCAGCTAGAAAACATTCACTTTCCAAATTACAAGATATGGTGCAGGGGAACTGTTGTTCTGTTACTATATATATGCACAAAAAAGTTGTGCAAGCAGTGGCCATACCCATGCACCATTCTTCTGCGTCTCCCAGAATAATCTCCCTCCGTCATGGCCAGCACAGCCCATGGAGGAAGCAGCTTTGAAGACGCATCTCAAAAAAAATGGGACCTTTAGAGGAAGAGCGTGCCTCTGTGCAGAAAGCCCAGCGTGCTGCACAATGGCAGGGGCCAAGGTGCTGCTGGTTGTCCACCAAGGCCATCCTGGCACAAGGGGTGAAGAAGGCAAGCTCGAGGAGGGGGTAAACTGAGTGAGGTGGCACCATTTCAAAAAATCGCCACCCAACTTTGTGCTGAAGGCACCTCAGCCTCCTCACGGAACATACCCAGAGTGTGCACCCTTACTTTTGATGAGTGTTTTGGAGACAAAAAGTAGCAGGAGAAAATGCCATATGTGCTTTCTTCCATGGCTGCCATGCCTCTAGGTACAAGCTGAGCCTGATGGGGGGGTTACAAGGGGAAAACTTTAGTCTCCCCTCACACAGAGTGATGCAAGGACCCATTGGGTAATGAACACACCCCAGATCTTTACCCTCATGCTTAAAACATCCATATATTTTGAAGAAGGAAAAAACTGCAACAATTTATCTTCTGTTAGGTCCTTCCTGTCTGTACCAAGGCCGAGAAATGCAGGCAATACGGAGCCGTGGGCGGGAGGGCTCCCACGGTGTTCCCCAGCCCTGGGGCACCACTGAACACCTGAGCAGCGGCCCACCCTACACGCGTGAGAGAGAAACTTCTGACAATGGCACCTCAGGCTTCCAAGCAAACCTGCTGTGACTTTACTTCAAGGGACAAATACAAAAAAGGACAATTTATAACATTTATTTATTTATTTTGTTACACTATAATATTCCGTTTGGTAGAAAAAAACTGTAAGATATTTATTTGAGACTCAGACTGTCTGTGGGGATCTGCATAATGAAACCCATGTTTTGTATTTTCTGGAGTTTTGAAAGTTTTGCTTATTCTTTTCTGATGTTTTAACACTGCAAGCTGAACACTGGATGGGGTACCGTTTGACACAGGGCATCATTTTGTAGGGGTGCTTGCCTGGGATGTGTTGCTGATGGGTCAAAGGAAACACTCACCAAGACCCCAGGAGCAGAAGACCCATGGAGCAGCCTAGAACAATTGGGCTTTAGGGGTTTGAAGCTCTTGCCCAAAGGGCACAAGAGATCAGGCTAAGACTGCAGCCAGCCTGAACTTATAACCCAGGCGCCAGGAGCAATAGGCTTCAAGCCAGGAATCGTCAGGCATGAGGAAGTTGCCAACTCTGACTTCCACCAGCTTTTCCTAGAAAGTAGCACAAAAGCAAAGGGAAACAGAGAGGTTTTCTTCTCCCCCCTTCTTTTTCTGTAGTTTCCACAGCCCCCTTCTTAATTTGCCTAATCTATCAATCACAGCTGCCTTGTGTTTCCAGAAGTCCCACCTGCCTGCAGGGGGAAACAGGGAAATAAAAGGGCAGTTGGAGGAACAGTGGGCTGGCTGCTGGACTTTCTGTGTGCTGTGGTAGGTGAGTGCAGTGGGAAGCAGGAGGCTGGAAGGAGTGGGAGGGTGGGTGCTGCAGATATACACTAGGACAGGGTGACATGTATTACGTACTGCTTAAAATGAATTGCTTCTAACCTGTAGGTCAGATCTTGGCAGTTCTCCTGTAATTCCCAGAGTCCTATCCTATGCTCTTGAAATCTTTCCCTGCAGAGCCAGGGAAGCAGAAACAAGCATCCCTTCCCAAGCTGGTGTGATCTTGTGGGGAGCATGAAGGTGGCTGGTGCAGGCTGTGCCCTCTTCTCCTGGCTTCCCAGAGCACATGCATGTCATCTGGGTATTCCTCACCCCTCTACTTCAAACACGTGCATCCCAGATGAATCAAGCTGAGTTGTAGTCAAAAAGCCAAGTAACCTAAAATGAAAGTGAGTGGGTGAGTGGAGAATGAATAAACCCAGTCCTTGTGATAAAAGGCTTTTTTAGGCTCCCTAGAGCTTAGTAATAGTGCAGCTGGCGAGTGCGGGGAAAGGGGAACTGGCTGCAACTGTCACAACCAGGAATTTGTCTCCTGAGCCCTGTAACTGTCAAAGGAGGAAGCCACATTTTGTCCAAGCTTTCCCATTATTGCAGATTAATTTCCTCCTCCTCCTCTGTGAGGGAAGGGGCCAGGGGAGAAGCAGGTTTTCCCCTGAGTTGGTGATTCATGGGGCAAGAGAGCAGAGCTCAGCCCCTGGCAGTCTCTGGAACAGGCTGGGTGGTGTGTCAGCCCCTGCCACTCAGCCGGGCCCACACTTGCACTTCAGGGGGGTTTTGGAGACTTTTTTTGAGTTCTAAAAGAAAGTTTCCACTGATGTTTAAACTAATGGGCCTTTTTTTTAAAGGAAAAAAAAAAGATAAATGATTCTCTTGCAGAAACAAGGAGTCTGCACATGGGTAATGAAAAGGGTTTTCAGAGGGAAGAGAGAAAGGCACAAAGCTGGAAAGAAACCTTTATAAACTCAGGAAGATTGTGGAGATTACCTATTATTATTATCTACAAGCTGATCCCTGGAGTAGGGGAAAACAGGGTTTGGAGTCATGAGGGATTGTCGTTTCTTTTACTATTTAGCTGAATGTTGAATTGTGAAAAGCTTTTGTGGGTTTCTGCTTACGAGCACGATAGAACTAGAGACTGAGTGGAAGAGAAGGATCTGGTAGCTTACAAGCAAAACGCTGTACAGGAAAGGAAGACATGATCAATCTGTTTGTCTTTTACAGTATGGGAATAGGAACAGCAAACAACATCCCAAGGCAGAACACTTAAAACCAATACATGTATTTGCCTTCATGCTATGCAAAGCCACCTACTAAAATGCAGTGCCATAAAACGTTATATGCTAGTGCTGTGGCTTCATGTAGCAATGGAAGGAATGTAAGCATACAGACTATGTATAACTAACTGGCTCTTAGCTGGGGGGGGGGGGGGGGGGGGGGAGGAAAAAAAAAAAACATCACTTCAGAGCAACTTCCTTTAATAGAGTTGTCCTGGTGCTGTGTGGTGGGGGGGGGGGGGGGGGGGGGGAAGTGTGAAATAGATACAAACTACCTTTCAGGGAATAAACAAGTACATGACTGAGGAGATCAGAAGCTTTTACTGTGGGTGGATAACATCTGAGCTGCTGTGCTGAGGTTTCTTTGTGATTATCTTGTGCTTGTCTGTTCAGTTATCTCTGCTAACAATTTGAAAGTAATTGTTTAGAGGCTATATTTCAGATGGGTCTACACAGATACTTAGTATTTATTTTAATAAATGGTATCTAGGCTCTGAAATGTTGCAAATTTTGAATAGGTTTTGAGAAGTAAAAATAAAACTGGTAACAAATTAAAGTTGAATGGACTGCTCTATTTTGCTACTCCAATCTGGGTTATATGAAGCAGGTTAACTTCGTAATTAAATGAAAGCAGGCATATTCAAACCCAAAACAAACAAAATGCAAAAAGCCTATGTTTTTACTTATTTCATGGCTGGGCAGTTGTTGGTCTGATCCAGCTCTGGCTTTGGCCACCTCCTGCCACTGCAACGGCAGTGGCAATGCAGCACACCAAACAGCTGGAAAGAGGGCAAGGGGGAATTCTTGCCTCTTACTTGAGTAAAACTGGCTCTGGTTAACATGTCTCTCTGCAAAGCAAATGGGATTATTTAGCCCAGATCTCTCTGTTCTGGGATCCTTTGATCTTGACCTCAGCCAGCTTGGGTTAAGGTTTTAAAAAAAAATAAATTACAACTATGGCAAATTTCTGATCAGCTGTAATTATGATAAGGAAGCCCAACCCATCTTGATGGTGATGTTATAGGTAATACATCAAACTCATGTAGGACCTTAAGACAATGTACTTTTAAACTGTATTTTAAACTTATATGTATTTAAATTTTTTTATATATATATAAAGGGACCTCAGGCTGTATAAAATGTCCAGGTTCCTGTTTTGGCATGCCAGGCTGTTTCAGAGATGTACAGTGTTGGTATTTGTATTTGCCTGGGTACTGGGTTCCTGGCTCTAAGAGAGCAGCAAGGTGTGATGGAATTGCCCTAGCAGCTCTGGCTGAAGATGTGACTTTTGAAATGTAGCTGAAATGCTACCCTTAGATGTTTTACAAGTCACTGGCTGCATTAAGAAGAATATTCTTTGTCTGAAATCACTGCTAGCAGAGACATAGGACTAAGTCCGCACAGTGAAAAGGAACTTTGTGTTGAGGATAGAGGATTGAAAGCATCATTCATCATTTCTCTGTTGTGTGACCCTGGGGAATGATTCATCTACTAAATACCACACCGGTAAATGTTCTTAACTCGGACATGGAAGAAAATATAACCAATTGTTTTTCATTCAGTTTTCAGCACTGAGCCCCTGCAAATCAGCTGAAATAAGAGAATTGCAACTAAATGAGTGCGTTTTTCTCTGATAAATGGGACTATCTAACCAGGCAGATAAAAATCACGCATATTTTTGTTTTCACTCTTAGTATACCAGAAATTACTCATATTTTGGAAGCCATACAAAGGGCCTTCTCATATCTCCGCTGCTTTCATCTTTGCTCATGTAAAGCTGTGTGTGAAAGGAGCACTGAACCAAGCTGTTTGTAGTTGGACTCTGTTGTAGTCTGCTCAGCTTTGGAAAAAAAGCTACCTGAATTTCCTGGGAAGCTTGAAGGAAACCTCAGTCTAAGACCCATACACAATACAGACAGAGTTTTGACTTTGCTAACTTGGCAGAAGCTGCAGTCCTTAACCAGCCTAAAGGACAAAAAGGCAGCTTGTCTAGTAAAAGAGCACTTGAAATTGTCCATGAAAGATCAAGCTGCAACGAGAAGCTTGCAGGAAAAAAAACCCACCCTACACTTTCAGATGAAAAATAGGAGATGTTTTTCTCAATCAGAATATTTTATATTTTTCTTCAAGTAGAATGTCCAGCATCTCATCACAAACACCCAGAGTTACATTTTAGGCTTAAAGAAACAAGTTTGCCTCAGAGGCCTTGAGCTTTCCTTGTCTATGGGAATGTAACTATTTTCATAAGTGTCATTGTGGTGTTTTTTTTGGCTGTCCATGAGGTAAGTAAAAATAACTATTTTTGTTTGCTACAGGTTTTTCTCTAAATGCTAGAAAGTATACAAGAAAAAATGAAAAGGGGGGATATCTTAGTACAGTTTTCTGAAGATCTTTGCATATCTCCTTCAGAACAGTTTAATTTTAAGGATATTAAATGTAGGCTGTCTCCTTTCTAGAAAGGATTTATTAACAGAAGCAAGGTGTCAGTTCTCAATGCTTCAGTATTTATCTATGTACATAACTTCAACATTTCTTTCTGAAAATCTTTATTGTAAAGGTATTGGAAGAGCAACTGACATAGTTTACCTGGCCTTGTGCAAAGCATTTGACATTGTCTTGCATGACATCCTTTTCTCTAAATTAGAAAGACTTGGATTTGATGGATGGACTGTGCAGTGGATAAGGAATTTGCTGGGTGGCCACACTCAAACAGTTGTGGTCAACACCTCGATGTCCAAATGGGGACCAGAGACAAGTGGCATTCCTCAGGGGTTGGTACTTGGACCTATGCTGTATAATATCTTTGTTAGCAACATGGACAGTGGGATCGAGTGCATCCTCAACAAGTTTGTTGACAACCCCAAGCTGTGTGGAGTGGTCAACACACTGGAGGAAAGGGATGCCATCAAGAGGGACTTGAACAGGCTTGAGAAGTGGGCCTGTGCAAACCTCATGCTGTACAACAAGGCCAAGTGCAAGGTCCTGCATGTGAATTGGGGCAATCCCAATCACAAATACAGACTGGACGGAGAATGGATTGAGAGCAACCCTGAGGAGAACGACTTGAGGGTGTTGGTTGGAACAAGGCCAAGTGCAAGGTCCTGCATGTGAATTGGGGCAATCCCAATCACAAATACAGACTGGACGGAGAATGGATTGAGAGCAACCCTGAGGAGAACGACTTGAGGGTGTTGGTTGGTGAGAAGCTCAGCATGAGCTGGCAATGTGTGCTGGCAGCCCAGAAAGCCAACCACATCCTGGGCTGCATCCAAAGAAGTGTGGTCAGCAGGTCATGGGAGGTGATTTTTCCCCTCTACTCTGCTATTGTGAGACCCCCACATGTAGTACTGTGTCCAGCTCTGGGGTCTTCAACATCAGAAGGATATGGATGTGTTGGATTGATTCCAGAGGAGTGCCACAAAGATGATTAGAGGGCTGGAGCACCTCTTCCATGAAGACAGGCTGAGAGAGTCAGAGTTGTTCAGCCTAGAGAAGAGAAGGCGCCCAGGAGACCTTATAGCCCCTTCCAGTACCTAAAGGGGGCCTACAGGAGGGATGGAGAGGAACTCTTTATCAGGAAGTGGAGCAATAGGACAAGGGGTAACAGTTTTCAACAGAAAGAGGGTAGATTTAAATTAGATACTAGGAAGAAATTCTTTACTGTGAGGGTGGTGAGGTACTGGAACAGGTTACCCAGAGAAGTTGTGGATGCCCCATCCCTGGAAGTTTTCAAGGCCAGGCTGTGGAATTAAGTAATGATGGACAGTATCTTTTTGCCCCTTAGTTGGTGCCACCTGGTATAAGACATGAGGCTGGCTGTGGGCAACGCAGCCAGGGAAGGAGAGGGTTACGCACAGTTGGGAGCTGATGCTGTGGGCGGTAGGTGATGCTGGGTATTGTGCTCCACATCTCCTGGTCAGTTTCTGATCAAAAGTACAAAATCTCCATAATTTCCTAACTGAAGCAAATGTGCTACCAACAGGAAATGAGGAGGGTGGGCCTTTTCAGTGATAAGCTGCTCTCAGAGTGTCTGCAGGACATTCGCCGGGCTGATGTCTGCCGCTCTCGGCTCAGCAGCGAGAGGGTCTGGGCTTGCAGCCAGGAGTGAGCCAACATTTCCTTTCCTCCTCACCTTTTCATCTACTGGCTGTGACCAGTAATAGGGTTCCCCTTGGTCTCCAGCAGAAGTGAGAACAAGAAACATGAACCAGCAGAAAGTGGTGGTGGTTGGGGGAATACAGTGCTATAAAGCTGCTGATTAACAGCTTTTCTCCTCTCTAGTGATTATCATTCTTGTAAATGAGAATTAATTAATTAAGGTCAAACTCTCCAATACTTACAGTCCAAACACGCTGCTTTATCTGAAAAGCTGAAGACATTGAGGTCAGGCTTGAACAAGCAGTCCCATGGGATAGGTTTGTGGGTTTTTTTAAACAAAAAACCACATCTTCCAGGGCCTCTGATAAATGCTTGAACAAAGAAAACCAGCCAGTTTCTTTCTGCGTACAAAATTCAAGAACTACATAGAATAAAGGAAAAGTCAGGGAGGAAGGATGTGGGAAACGATGTTAGAAGTTGAACAGATTTAGTTCTAGTAATATGACCTGTTACTGGGACCTTTTAGAGCTCCAAGTGCCATTTTTGTATACTGTTACTTTCTATGTGAGAAGGTGGGGACATGTTTTGACGTATAGTGTGCGGTTGGCTGGTAGGATTCTTGCTTGGGTAAAAAAGCAGTGAGATTTGGGGGGGGGGGGGTAAAGGGGGTTGCCGTAAAAAA